AGCCAGTTGCTAAAAATAAAAACTGTTCCCTGAAAAATCAGAATACCCAATGATAAATTTATGTATTTGTTTTTTAAAGGGGTGAGAAAAATAGAAAGCTCCTGGCTGACATCAGAAGTCACAAGATGAGTTCCTCATTTGTCCAAATGACATTCAGCTGCTAAAAGAAGTCAGACTTTTAGAGGGCTGTTGAGGAGAGAGTAAGTCAGGAGGTTTTCAGTACATGACTGCAGGGGAATCAGACACAGGCTAGTCACTTAAGTTGCTTAATTGTCCGTGTACCCTTAGCCCACGACTTCAGGGCTCAGCAGCTTCATCCTTCATGGCACCAAACCTTGATTTAAGGGATTCAAAGACACACTCATAAGAATCATGAATTTGTCCTTACGCAAAATTTGGGGGACTGGCTAAAAAACCAAAACAAAACAAGGAGATCTTATCCCTAAGTGAAAGGGACTTTGTATTAATTATCAATTATAACAATATATAAAATACGTAAAAGAGATATAGCACTGCAAGTCATCAAGGTCAAACATTTAAAACAAAATTAAACTAAATTATAAGGAGGATTAAATGTCTTTTGTTTTTGTAAATAAAAGAATATGTGTGCATTGATTGCCTATGTAGAAGGATTTATAAATCTTTTGGCATGGTCGATTTGTAATAAATTACTGAAAATGTGGGATTACGATGAAACTCTTAAAGTGTGCCACAGAAGTCAAAGAAGCCACCTAAGTCATTGGATGGGCATGAGTGACACACTCTGGAATCATCTTGATGCTACTTTGGGGCTGCCCTTGCAGGGTGGGACATCAGCTTCACTGAGGGGCTCACCAGAGACTCCTTCAAGGGAGCATTCCTTGCTTTCCATGTTGTGTTTATGTCATTTTGATAGGCCGAAGTAAAAGCCAAATCCTTTTGAATGATTCAGTTTTGTCTTTTTAAAGAGACATCATCATACTTGGTGAACAAGGGTGGTCAAAAAAAGTACTTATATTTTTCAACTTTTTTTTAGCTTGGAATATTGAGTGATGAGGTAAAAAAAAAAAAAAAAAATTCTTCTTCCTCGGTTGGAGACCCTTCCTCCCACCCTTATCCCCTTTTGACCATTGCAAAATAGCTTAATCCAGGGAAAAGGAAGAAGACAAATGAGTGAAATAATGCCAGAGTTAGTTATTGCCAGGAAAAACACACTCGGACTCAGTTAATTTGTTCTGTTAATGTCAAAGACTGTGATTCCCAATTAACTAATTTTAAGAAGCTATATCTGAAAGTAGTTACATCAGCTCTAGAGTTAATGTATGATGAAGATCAGGATCTTCAATTAAGAGAATAGGGACCCTAAAGAGGTGGTGATGTCTGTTTAAGATCATCTTGTTAAGTAAATACACACGGGATTGGATTTTCAAACAGCGTTTAGCCCCTTCAGAGAAGTTGAGTGGAGGTGAGAGGGGAGGGGACAATCCAGATATTTTGGCAATAGAAAATGTTCCACAAATCACTGATTTGTGTATACTCAACTTACTAATGACAGAAGCATACATACTATTGAGTCTCTTTGGGATAGAGATGCTTCTCTAGTTCAAGTGGAATTAATTAAAACAGGCGTGTAGTTTGCAATATTTCCAGCTCCCTCACTGAAAGGCTCCATACACATAAACCAGAACAGCTTGAGCAGCTGAGAAAAACTGGGCCAAAAATGACTCCACCACCTCTCTCCTTCCTCTCCTTTTACACTGGAATGGAAAGATACAATTTTATATATATATATATTAAAAGCAGAACACTCATGGTTTCTGTACAATGTAAGTGCTTTCATTACCTTTGAATGGGGTTAACATAAAAGTATATATGCTCTTAACAGTCAAGATCATAACTTGCTAATGAAGTCATGAATTATCCAGAAGAAAACTATGCACGAGCACATGCTGAATGGCAGAATCTCTTGTCTCTAAAAGTTCAGTTATTGCCTTTGTAATATTAAAGCCCAACAGGGAGCTGGCGGGACACCTTTTGTGCTGTCTTGTCATGTTATGGGTTTCCAGTTTCAGATACAAAAGGAGAAAGAGCCCTTAAGAAAGTAAAAAACTTGAAAAAACAAATCAGACTTCCTTCTCTGAAAGCAAAGGGTTGTTTTCCCAGAGATGATGGATAATGGCATTTCAACTTTCTAAGTTTTTGATAGAGAAAATGGAGGCAAATCACAGAGGAGAAATAGAATATAGTAAACAAACAGAATAAGGTAAAGTTTCAACAAGTGCTTCTCTCAATTTTTTTCTTTCTCTCGTTCTCTCTTCCTTTCTTTTTCTCCTTCTTTCATTTTTTGAAATCTTAAACCCCATTTCTGGCTTGTATTTGGTAGGATTCCTGCTCTGACTTTTATTGAAAACAGACTTTATGTGGTCAGAACTCTCCATCTAAAGCTGGGTTTAACAGGAATGGGGATCCTGACAGTCTTTCTTGCTCTCTCTCAGGTGACCACCCTCCCAGCCCCCTTCCCCAGGATTTCCCTCCCAAAGCGCTGAACCAGCACAGAAACTTGAAGGCTCAGCACAAAACCACCAACTTTCCTCTTTTACCCTGTACTCTCATTTCTGTTTTAAATTTGGGACTCTTTGCACGGCCAGATCAAGTAAAGTCTGGTTCTAACTTGAGAGTATTCTAGAAATTTCAAATAAGGCAACTGTCATCCTATAAATTCCCTAATGCAGTCTCATTAAGCCCTGCTGCCCATGCACCGGCCATCCAGCTCGGGCTACTCATTCTCGTTTGGCTGCCTCGTGCGTGCGAGCTGGAAAATACCAACGGCAGCTCCACCCTACTTAATAAGTCAGTTTAGCATTCAAAAGTTGATTTTTCTGAAGGGTACTAGCAAGCCAGCTCATCTGAAACCCACAGGTAAAACAGTCAAGCAAGCAGGCAGAACATGCATGTTCATTCCCGAGGACAGGCACTACCAGGTTGCTCTGGTTTCTTCTCATAGCTAGACAGACAAAAGTAGCTCCTGCATGGGACTCCAGCCTTCCCATTCTCAACTCTTCCTCTTCCAATGGCCTCAATACCTTCCTGGTACAATGGCAGACACTTTCCCAGTCAATTTGAGGTTTTCTAAAATAATAAATTGGATCTTGCTTGTAGCAAGGCTCAATGCTGAAATTCCTGCTTTTTACATGGAAGGGAATTTTTTTGAATACTGCAGTGCAGTGGTTCTCACGTGGAGAGGAATTTTACTCCCCTAAGGGACACTGGGAGTGTCTACAGATATTTTTAGTAGTCACAGCTGGGGAGTGCAACTGAAATCTAGAGGGTAGAGGCGAGGGATGCTGCTAAACATCTTATAATCCACAGGACAGCTCCTCACAACAAAAACGTCAGTACTGATGAGGTTGAGAAACCCTGGGGTCATGGTCAGGAAACGGCTCTGGAAGCCGACTGCATGGGATTAAAGTCCAGCTCCACTAGACACTCACTGAGCAGCCTTGGGCAACCTGTTTAACCTCACTGCTGCATCTGTAAAATGTGGATAATAACCTATTTGTTATGAGCTTTAAACAAAAAATGTATATTAGGGCAATGCCTAGTAATATTGAGAGCACAATAAATGTTGGCTGTTGCTATTACTATTATTACTGGAAATTTAGCACCATTCCAAATAATTTATAAGCCAAGTCTATTGAATTTAGAGAAAAAAAATTGGATTGAGAGTATATATATATCCTCTTTGCTTAGGACCAAAATAACAGTGGTAACAACTGTAGTCTTTACAGTGTATCAAACTCTTTCAAATACCTCATGTCATATGATCTGGAGAACAACTTTATTGAATTCTCTCTGTTTCATAGAAAAAGAACTTCTGTCTCAGAGTTAAATGAGTTGCCCAAGACCTTCAGTAACCCAGGTCTTCTGATTGTAAATCTCGTGCTTATTCTTGCTGTACCACCCTCTGTGTACTAGTTTAAGATCCCTCTTCTTCTCTTCATTATACTCAACAACATGAAGATCAAAATAAAACGTAAGTGCCACAATCAGTTGGCAAGGTGGCTCAGGCTGCAGGGGTGGGTAGAAGTCACGTCTGTTTTCATGATTTGTCTAAAGTCAGATAGTCCTTCATGGAGTATATAAATATTTTAATTCCCTGAATTGAATTTAAAAAAAATTAACTTTATGTATGGGCTAATTTTCTTTCCTCTTTATGTTTCTGATTTTGAGGGGGAAAAAACCTTAGTACTTTATACCTTAAAAATCTCTGATTATATTCATTGTGTATATTTTGACTGTAAGTGTATGAAGGTGAGACTACAGCTCCAACTATGTATGTTTCTAGGTCCATTATTTATTAGCTGTATTGTTTCACAATTAAGCCTGAAAATCCACTTACAATTGTCAACATGTATTATTCAAATGTACAATGATCTATCTTATATATGATTAGTGACTGTATACAACAGTCATGCCTATATTAAAATACCTGTGTGTAGGTTTTAAAAAAACAATTGCAGATCGATCAGCCAGATTTATTCGGTCTATGTGAAAATCGGTAAAACTGGGTATAAGGATCACATTTCAGAAGGCAGATGGATAAAATTCTCTAAGTCAGTGGTTTTCTAGAATTCTTTTGGTAATGGAGAAGGCAAGACCTTAGTCCATGGAACTCACATGACCTATAGAACATACGGCTTGCTACAATCCTCCATAACTCTTTTGTTTCAGAGTCCTCAAATTCTCCCAATAGCTGCCAAAATGTCATTCATTGGGACCCAGTGTTCTTTAGTCCTATTTAGTTTGTGCCAGTTGATAAATGAGAAATTTCAATGATCACAAGTGATTTTTAAATGGCATAACAGGGTTGGCAATTTTCCTATAGTCTCTGTTCATTGTGAAAACTGCAAACACGTACGATAAGATCTTTGCAATTTTCTCTTTCAAATAAATTTTGTCTGTCATTCTATGAGAAGAGAACCAAGCCGCACCACCACCCGAATTTCTGCTCCATGCCTTACCTTGGGACACTGGGTGGGGCCCTTGTGGGCCTAGATGGAACTTGTGGAGGGGCTCCGAAGGAGTCACTGCTGCTGGGGAAAGGAGGTAATGGGCCTGGACGGAATGGGACTGGGGGAGCCCCAGAGTGAGGGCCTGGAGAGGGAATGGCAGGAGCTGGTCCTCGGCCAGATGTGGGCCTTGTGAGGGGAGCACTTAGTGTTGGCCTCCTTTGGGTTGTGGGACTTGGAGGAGGTGACCTGAGGAAAAAGAGAAATCATAGTTTGCTCACTCCTCCTTTCTGTCTGAATTAATCTCTAAAAATGTTTTGTAACTTCCTGCTCTTTAAAAATTATTTTTGGACTGAATAAGTCAGGTTCATGTTATGAAAGTCGAAGGTATAAAAGGGTAAATGGAGAAAAGTAAGTTTTCCTCTCCCTACCCCTTCACTCCGTTGAAACAACCATAGAAGTTTCTTGTGCATCTTTTTAAACTGTACTCTACATTTCTATAAGTATATATTTTCTCTCTCTATATATAAATTGCTTTTCTGTATATCATAGAACACAGTGTTCTACAACTGCCTTTTTTTTTTTTTTTTTTTTTTTGAGGCAGAGTGTCGTTCTGTCACCCAGGCTGGAGTGCAGTGGCATGATCTCAGCTCACTGCAACCTCTGACTCCTGAATTCAAGCAATTCTCCTGCCTCAGCCTCCTGAATAGCTGGGATCACAGGCGTGCATCACCACCCCCAGCTAATTTTTGTATTCTTAGTAGAGACAGTTTTTCACTATGTTGGCCAGTCTGGTCTCAAACTCCTTACATCAGGTGATCCACCTGCCTCGGCCTCCCAAAGTGCTGGGATTACAGGTGTGAGCCACCGTGCCCAGCCTACAACCTCCTTTTTTTTTTTAAAGCTTCCCATTAACTGGATTATCTTTTCATTTTAGGACCTAGTAGAACTGTCTTGTTCTTTTTAGTGACTATATAACATTCCATCGTGAGGATGCACTGTGCTGCATTTTGAAGGGAGTTAGTATAATCTGATCCTTACTCTTGAATGTAAATATCTTTTCCTTTTTTTCTGTAGCTCCATCTTGGTTTAGGAAAGCACTCTCAGAAAATATCAGAGAAGCGTGGCAGGCTTGGGGTTGTGGGGCCATCCTCTTACCTGCGGGAGTGCTGTATCCAGGAATCATCCACTGGAGGGGGTGCCGGAGTGGACACGGTGGCCGTGCTGATGTCCCCAATTATCCCAAGGGCTTCTTTTAGGGCTTGGTACATTCGTAGCATCTCATCCCGGCGCTGAGCCTGCTCAGCAGATTCCTCCATCAGAGTATTTTGGTCCTCTGAAGAATACAGCTGTGCTAGGAGCTCTGAATTTATGAAATCTTTAACCTGTCAGATCACCACAGAGAAATATAAATGGGAATAAATGAATGACTGAGTGGAGGTAGAAACACGGCTGTGGCACAATCTGGACAAAGTCCACCAAAGTCTGCCCTGGCAAAAGTGAAGCACCAAGCATCTGTTTACCCTTATTTTGTCTCTATTCCCAGTACCGGTGACAGTAACAGTTTCCCTCTGTCTTCTGACTGTCGACACTGAAGGATGATAAAGATGAGTAGAAGAAGGTCAAACCCGACCATCAGCAGAACAGGGCCTACTGGCTTTGTGAGCATGTCACAGTATTGTCTGGAGCTGTTTGGCTTATAGAAGAGGGAAGGTACTATGAGGTAAGCAGCAGTATTTTCAACAGAAAACAGTGATGTGAAGAAACCTATGTAATCACGCATTTTCCATTCCTTGGCATTCGCAGTCCTTTCCCTAGCTTTTACCAAAATCACTGGAAAATTACTGAGATGCCAAGTTTCAATGTTGTCTCAAAAGTGAAATTAGCACCAGTAAGTGAATATTTATTAAATACAGAATCTTATATAACTATGCAGGTTGATTTATAAACAACTCAAAGAGATGCACTCTGTTTTCCAGAAGTTTACAATACAAGTTAGTTAACAGTGATGAGGACTGACATGAGGTTACATAGTTAGCTAATATATAAAAACAAAGTAAAGTGTGAACACTGTGTGGGAGTCTCAGGGGAGGGGCATTTTGTTGCAGGATGAAAATGGAGAGGATGAATATGGTGCACAACACTGAGGGTGGGAGCGCCGGCCACTGTATCTCATCAACTCTAAGACACCAGTGATTTTAAGAAACACTTCTATCGTATGTGCTATTAAGACAAAAAAAAAACCAAAAAACAAAAATACCACCAATCAAACTATGACAGGATGTCAAGATGCCATTGAGTGTAAGACGCACTTTCATTTCAGAAATATTAAATAAACAGAAGTGAATGTGAGAATCGATGAAGTATGGTATATACCAAGTGGCTTCACAAGTTATATGACAATTCTCATCACACACTGAGGAAACATGTATTAGTATTTCAGTTTTATAGATACAGAAACAAGTTCTGAGAATTTAAGTATCTTGCGCTAGGTCACACAGCATTCAGTTGAATCCAGAATCTTCTGACTTGAAGTCCAGTGCCCGTTCCCTTACCGCATTATCTCACTGTGATTGAGTGCTTAGAAAAGTAAATTTTTGTTTAAGCATCTTTATTTTACAGTGGTGCAGCAATTAACTTAAGCCTAGTAAAAATAAACCAGTTTGAATTTTTCAGTTTCTCTGTTACATGAGAAAGCTAACTCTTATCTAGACTCATGAATATCTTTAAGAAAGGTCAAAGGCAAACATATATTTAATTGTTAAAAATCAGGCAGATAACAGAATAACTGTCAGATGCTCAAAATTTCTAGGATATGGTTAAATTTGTAATTCAGAGATGACAAGAACCTAAAACACATAGCTTCATTATGTTTTAAAGGCATCAAAACATGTAAATAATTCTACTAGTCAAAAAATTCAGCTAAAGCAAAGGTTTATTGTGGTGAAATAAAGTGTTTTCTGTACATATTTTATAAATCAAGAGTGATTCAAAGGTGAAGTAATCTAATACACAAGATGTATTTAGGAAACTCTCTGGTGGAGCAGAGGTTTATGCACGATAATTGTGGAAGGTAAGTTTGGCCAGGAATCCTGGGGCAGATGTGAAGGCCTTGAATGCCAAGGAAAAGTGTTTGAACTTTATTCACTTGGCAATGAGGGGCCATCGAAAGCTTTTAAGCAAGTAAGTGAAACAATAAAAGAGAGTTTTAGGAAAATTAATCTGGCTAACATTGAAAAAGAATTTGGAAGGGTGGTAGTGAAAATAAATAAATCTATTAGAAGGCTATTGTAGATCATTCATAAGATTTTAAAGGTTTCATTTAGTAATAATGCAGTAGTATAAAAAATGGATACATATAATGACATTATAAGGAAATAATGAACTGGACTTGGTGCTGTTGGGATGTGAAGGGTAAGGAAGAAAGGAACAATCAAAGACACCTCAAGCATTGACATTTGGGTGAGTGGGAGAATAGAAAATCAAACATCAGAAAAGAAAGTCAGCTTTAGAGGGAAGGCAGCAAATTTGGCTTTAGGAATATTTCATTCCCTTCCTTAAAGATGCATTCACTTCTAAATGTACTTGCAGGTATGCAGGGAATCATGGATATTTGCACAAATCTCCCACTGTTGGGTGTGTATATGCACTTGGATGCATGGTACAATTCAAAACTCAAAACCAGACAATTTTCCTGGCATTGACCATTGGTTGGGTTAAACTCTTTAGAAACTTTACGTATTACTGGAATATCACTTAGAATCTATTAAATACAATTTAAAAGAAGATTCTTCCAAGAATAGATTTAAAGCAGAGCTGAATTAAGAATCAACTGTCAAACCATGAAGTAAAATAAGGGTCTGTTTCAGCATTCTGACCAAAGATGTGCCTTGAATCTTCCACATCAATTATGACACACTGGAACTTGCCTGCTATGCAATACAGTGGATTCAGAGCACAGGTTGTAGATTTAAGTTCTAGTTCTAACACTTACTGTTCTCGGGCAAATAATGCAAACTGTTTGAATCTCAGGTTCCTCATCTGTAAAACAGGGATAAGGGTAGAGCTACCTCAACTGTTGTGAGGATTAAGGGAAAGAATGAATATAAGTTGTCTAGCATGATGCCTAGCAGACAGTTAGTACCCCTTCCAAAAAATGCTGTGATTTTTACTGTCTATAGGCTAAATTGGCATTAGGTACATCGAGACAGGAGAACCATAGATAGCTGTTGCAATAGTACACGTATCAAGCGACAGCTAAATACAGCATATAGGTTAACATTTTATTTTGCATTTAAGCAAAATTTTAGAGAGACTCTTATCTCCTTCTGCTAACCTAACTTTGTGACACTAAAATTGGAGTCTGGAATGAAGGTAGGGGGACTTCCGGGAGTTTCCAGACACTTCAGGGACTTTCTGAGAAGTCTGTATGCCAGTGGTACAAATATTTAAATCAAGGATTCTGCATGACAGTTAGGGGCCAAGTGAATCCCTTTTAGATGATAGCATTTACAAAATACTTCACCGAACATAACAAAGTGATTATACTTAAATTCGAGATTTGAAATAATATTTATGTTTTTAATTATAACACCTTATAACCTATACATCTCTGTATGGTTTGTAAAAGTTCTCACACATGAAACCTCATTCCAGCTCAAACTCTAGGCTAGATAAACAGGCATTACTGCACCATGTCGCTCTGCTCAGTGTAAAGGAATGTGAGGTCATTAAAAATGTTCCACATGTTTTCCTCTCTTACTTTAACCCTTCTCTAGCAACCCATAATGTATTTGGATCTTAAACCTTCTTTGCTGTGACTGAGACCATTTTAAATCCTTCACAAATAGAAGAGACATTTCTAGGGTTTTCCTATAGTTTCCTACAGGTCAGTTACCAAGGAGACCATTTCCTTAAAATCTCTTTGTTTCTAGAATTGGAGGGTCACAATATGCAACACAGTGATACCTCTCATTCACATAAAACATGTATTAAAATGTAACTGAGAAGTTTAATTTTGTTTAGTTTTGGGGAGGGGGCTTGGTTAGAATTTTGTGATTGTTTGAGATCTCACAGTTCTCTCATATCTACTTAGTCCTCCTTTCCTTTTCCCAGGGATTTAATTCTGCTAAAGACCAAGGAAGTTTTCCTGCTTTAAAAAGTGCTTTGACTCACAAACGTAATGTTAAGCAAAAGAATAACATCCTTTGACTCACAAACGTAATGTTAAGCAAAAGAAGTTAGACACAAAAGGCATATAGTATATTATTACCAAGTGCAGAAACAGGTAAAACTAATCTATAATTTAAGAAAGAGAATAGTGTTAGCCTTGGCAGGGAGTGACGATGGGAGGTGGGGGCAGGAGAGAGGAGAGCGGGGCTTATGGAGTCCTAGTTGTGATCTTTTTCTTGAGCAGTATGCTGAATTCCTGACCGGTGGCAACAGATCAGTGTTTTAAGTGCCAGGATAAAGCTCTGGTATTTAAGATGTACTTTCCCCTAAAATAATGAACATTTAAAATAACACTTTACTTCATATGCATTAAAGTTACAGCAAGTTTTGAAAGTAGGGCACATGCTACTAATTTTCCACCAAAATGCCAATGGCCAAGGAAAGTAAATGTGGACCTCCAGAGGGGTTCAGGGACGCAGGCTGCAGCACACACTCCAGTGTGAAATGGCTCTATGTTTCAAATTTGGTTTTTTGAAAAATTCCTAAGAACGTTTACATTCTCGTTTGTATTATCTGGGTTTGTTTAAATATGAGAAAGATTTAAAACATTGTTTCTCATCTTCAAACAAATCCCAATTAAATATTTCAGTAAAATTAACCCTCTGGGAAAATAACTCATGCATACCCTGTGGGGGTAGGAGTCCTCTAGTTGGAGAGGACTGACTTAGAGTTTCCTAATCCTGTCACATGCATTATCCAATGATCAAATGGTGAGAACATCAGACTATGAGTGAGAAGACCTGGATTTCAGTCTTGACTCTGCCACCCCCAGCTGTGTGATCTTGGGCAAGTCAACATCTCAGAACCTCAATTTCTTCATTTATAAGCTATGGAAAATAATGGATATCCAACATGTGGTTGGCTGACAGGTTCAAACAGAATTATGTGCCACTTTGCCACACCAAACACATTTTTAGAATCAAGCTGGATGCACTTCATTCTTTGATGGAGAACTTCTGGTAGGGTGAGCTACAGAGAAGAGGCCATCCAAATGGGCTTACCATGGGGTGTTATGTGTGTGTTAGCTTTAAAGTCCTGAGCAAAACTCTGCCGCTTTGACTGTAGCCTGTCCAGAACAACCGTCTGTCATAAACTTGCTATTTCTTTGTGCTGCTGTTACCTGGTATGTTTAAGTAACGAAACAGCTGCTGCATTTCAATAGACAAAGGCTTACAGTATGTCTGAGGCAAGGCATTTATTGCTAGGCTTTAAACTTCTTAAACAATTCCATATGGAGACTTGAGTGGCAGAACACTTAATGTAAACTTTCAAAGGAAACTGCCCACCAAATTCTGAACTTTATGAACGTTGGCTGAAACATATTCTTTTTCAGAAGGCCGAAACATATTCTTTTTCGTTCCCATTTCAAAGAGGAAAGGCCAGAACACCGCTTTTGATAGACCAGGAAGAAATAGAGGACCCTGTTTTAGGCATTTATTGATTCTGGAGGAACAATTAACTTTTTGATCCACACTCATTTAAAGATGCAGCAGGGTTAAGTGAATGGAATTTAGAATTAGGAGTGAAAAGACTAGTTTTCTAGTTGTGATTTTATTATTAGTTCTTTCATTTGAAGGTCTCTTCGCTTTGAATCAAATTAAAAAATCTAGATGGCACAGCGCTGGGTGTTCACTGTTTCAGTTTCCATGGACTCAACAGGTCACATATGGAATGAAGAAAATAGGCTTGGGCATTCTGTACAATAAGATGCCACGAGAATATGACTACATTAATAAAAGAGATATATATTTTTCATACATAGAATTATACATATATAATTTTAAAATAGATGTATTATATGTAAAACTATACCTTTTTATATATAAGTTTAAAAAGCACATAAAATAATACTCAAGAAAAGCAGTCATTCTAGATATGTAAAACTAATTTCTGGTAGATACAAAAAGTTAAATTTCAAACAAAGATAGCCACAATTTCATAAGAATTCAGCACTGCATGATACTTTCGCCTTCTCCACATTCCTATTAGTTTTTGCTTCAAGATTTAACCTTGGAGATCAGATCTTAATTGAAGTCTCCTTTCTCACGACTCTTATGTGAGGTCTCTCTCAAGACAACTATCAGAACTTTACCTCTGAGGATAATATCCTGTAGGTGGAGGTTTAGTCATTTGATTAAACAAGAAAACACACCAGTGAAGAGTGAGGGAAACTACCCCTGCATTTCTTTCTTTCTTTCTTTCTTTCTTTCTTTCTTTCTTTCTTTCTTTCTTTGTGTGTGTGTGTGTGTGTGTGTGCATGTGTGTGTTTTTCTTGAGAAGGTGAAAGTAGGATAGATTTGCAGAAGGGTTTTTTTTTTTTTCCTTTTAGCTAATTTGTGTCAAGCTACTCCTCATAGCTATAGGCAGGAAGTGCTATTTCCTGTGCTGATGATTTAATATAGTGCAGAGCAAAGCACTGTTTGAACTGATGGCAGCACTAATGACTCTCGGTGAAACAGTGAAAAGATAAATGATTCTTAATCAGGAAAATGTTTAAATAAGCAAGTGCCTGGATATACCACAGCAAAACAACCTGAATTCATTTAAGTAAATGAAGAAGGTACTTTTAAAAATACACAGACTATTTGTTTAATACTTTATATCTTTCTAAATGTCTTACAGTCACTTTTATTATAATCTCTGATGATTCTCTGAGGTATCTCAATGTAGTTTTAGAAGAGACTGACTTCAACTCAAAGGGGCAAAATGATTTGCTTCAGGTTACACAGTAAGCCATTGGTCAAGCTTCATAGTTTGCACATTTCTAATTTATTGCTTACCTGTTGCTGATTCTTCAAAGCATTCAGCTAACCTTGTTTGAATAAACATGTGTATGAAAATAGTGTTAAAAATAAGATCGTTCACATGAATGCTTGGCGTTTCTTACAGTCAAGGAATGCAGAGATCATGGACAATGAATGGACTGTCGTATTTAGAAATAAAATTTTGAAATGAACCAAGAAATATAAATAAGGGCTATTTACAGTTCTTAAATAGGCAGTCATATTACTTTCTTACAATTATATTTTTCACAGTACTTTCATATGTACCATCTTCTGGAACAAATCCCTAAGTCAGATACACTTACTACAATTAGTATTTTACATATGGAGGAAACAGACACATGAAAGAGACTCACCTTAGGTCAACAGAGCTTGTAGCAGAACTAGGTTTAGAACCCAGGTTTCTCCTAAATTCTACTTTGGGGCTCTGTTTACTACTTTGCCATCAATTTTAATTTCTTACAAGCAATGCTCATGATTTATCATTGGATTACATAAAAAGATGTCCTTAGAAGATAACTAGGAATAAAATTATTGGTGTCTCACTTGTCAAGATTCAGAAAAGCCCCCTATAAAACACCTCATTATAACCTATCTTATCTAAAAGACTATTTCTCAAATAACTTGTGGTATTATTTGTACTGTAAAAAGTTAACTACCAAAAGAACTAAATCAAACATAATTTAAGTATCATACTTTGACTACCATAAATAACCTTGAAAAGGTTATTTAGACCCATTGATGGCTAGTCAAGCAGGATACTTTCAGATTTGAGGTTATAGCATCTTACCTTAGAAAAATAAAATTCTCTGACTTTTTAATCCAAGGGCATAAAGCAAGAACCCCTTTCCCAGGTTAAAATAGCATTCCATAGATTTTAGAAGCTGAAAATAATCATATTAACATATTTTATACATGTGTGTGCACATGCATGCACACGCAGAGGCATAGGAACAAATATATCCTTTGCCTTTAATCTCAAAGTCTAGGAGCCAGGGCATCTGGTTTCATTGCTGGTTTTGCAATTAATTTACATGATGCCCAGGATTATGGTGTTTTTGTTCTACTTTACTGTGAGCAAACTCATACTCTTCTAGAAGACAGCCATTGGGGAATACCTCAGTCCTATAGCTAAAAGTTTTAAGTTTTCTTCCCTAAGTTCTCTTTCATTGGTCAGTCACATATCACGTGTAAAGGAAAATGATGAATCTGGGTAACAGTATTTCAACTATCCAGAAAATACACAAAGAAACTGAAGATAATATATGCAACTTCCACACTCAGATGGGTTAGAAGTTAAATGGAGGTAGTTTATAATCACTTACGTTATTGATCATAAGGTGCATTATTGTTTTTGGAATTAGATCTCGGATACATTTGTTGATAATGGACATGTAGGAGTCTACGAGGTTGCGAATGGTCTCCACTTGCCTCTCCAATTGTGGGTCCATGGAAAAGTTTTCTGCTTGGCCATTCTCATCATTTTCAGCCTAAAAGAAAAGAAACAAACCATGGATTATCTCGTATTCATTCAGAAGAAAATAAAATGTCAGATGTTATCAGATGATCAACTTCTGATTAGCATACTTGGGAGTTTACATCAGTAGATGGTAACATTTTTCTTATTATGCATCCACTGGTTCTGAAAGGAGATGAGGGAACCTGCAGTTATTACTCAATTTTTAGCCTGCCACATTCTAGGGAAAGCAAGTAAGTATTCTAATTCTGAATGAATGTTGAGATGAATAACCAAATAAACAGTGTACCTAACAACATACCTCCAGAGAACAATCTAATCTTAAGCCATTTGCAAGCTGGCCAAAGAATTGAATCCAAACATACGATGCAAATGTAAACCTCTGAGAGGAGTCTCCAGGGATTCTATAGATTAGAAATAACCTTGGCATTGTTCTGGCACTTCTAGGTCTGCTCTGGGATGGATCAGCATTTGGATCCGCCCACATTCAAAGCTAAATTTTGTCGGGCTGGCCTGAAGCCAAAATAAGAGATATAGAAGATAATTTATTCTTCCATGCACTTGCTGGAATTTGTTATGTAAGTTCATGCTTCTGTCATCACTACTACAGACTGGCTCCATTGTGAAAAACTTACAATTATAACTTCCAACTTGTTATTCTTTGAATAAAACAGAACACATCTATACACAAAGAATTTATTTGTGCAACATGAGAAAAGCATCTGTTTTCTATACTATGAGACTTGACTTAATTAATGTTGGCTTATCCACCAGAGGCTGAGCTGGAATGGCATCTTCATCATTAAGGGCTGACCTATTGGCTTGGCATTGAAATCAATTTAGAACAAATGGTCTCCATTTCAAGTCAGCTTGAACCATCTAAGCCCCAGAACATGACACAGGTATTATTGCTAGTGGTCTGGCTACTTTCTAGCATTTGGAAAGACTTAATTATGAATGTAAAATGGGGAAATAATTTATTGCTTCCATGTAGGCATGAAGTACTTTTCTTTGGAAATGTACATACTTTGATCTGCCAGGGTTTCAATCATCCAATCAGTTCTAGGCATAGCACTGTGCTAAATAACTTAACTGGATATTAAATGACAAGCCTTTCCTTTGAATCAATATGCTTGTGTGAAAAGCATATTGATGGGCTACAAAACCAACAATAATGATAGAATTGGTTCTAATCATTTATATAGGCTTCTCTCATTCAGAAATATCTATTGTTCTAAAAAACACATTAAAATAATGCATGCTCAACTCATTTCTCAGTCCTGAGAGCATGACCTCATGATTTGAGACAATAGTATGAGGATATTTCTGAGGCTCCAGTGCATTTTAGGGCCTCCAGGAAAGCCTACTTGTAAGAAACCACAGACCAGAGAAATTCCAAGTTGAGGAGTTAGGAGTTACCACAGCTTGATGATAATGAGGATGATAAAGTGATTATGAAATAAATATATATATATATGTATATATAAATGAGAACAGACGATGACCTACAGCTTTCTGAAGAAAACATCTTCTATATAAAGAAATATAAGCCTCCATTAGGAATATAACACGATTCCATTTGTCTCTCTGATCTAAAACATTCTTGGATTTTAGATTTTGCCATTGTGTTTAGCAGTCGCAGGTAATGGCATTTCAGCATAAACCTATTACCACTTCCCAGGAACATTTATTGAGCAAATATTGTATTCCAGGTACTGTGCTATGTACTTTATGTAGATCTGTACCACAGCCAACCCATATAAGAATATATTCAAGCTCTGAGAACTGAAATTTGTTCAATAAATGTTAGATAAATATTCTTTTAAGTCAATTTTTTCCTTAGGTATTAAGAAACCAGAACATAGAGTTTCTAGAAAAATTCCTTAAAGTACTGATATTTATAAAAAATAAATGATTGAGTCAAAGGAGAAACGCAGAATAAATAACATGTTAAATTCATCTCTAGGAATATGAAACACCAAGAAAATTATATTACCATCCACATTTTCATATAGAAACACTAAATTTCCCCATTTTACAGCTTTCTTAACATTTAGCCATGCTTCACTTTTTTGCATATCAAAATAAGCAAAAGCCACTGACTTTCACTTTTTGAAACCAGATGCAATTAGAAAACAAAGTGTCAGAGTGAATAGAGAACTCTGGTTTAATTCTTAGCATTAAAAAAATTAGAGGCTTTAGTAAATAATCAGTAAAACAATTTGAAATTCTTCTTAGCTTTTGGAAATACTTGCAGACATGTAGTGACATGCAAATCTTAACAATTCTGATAATACAGTGGACATGATGGGGAGTCACAGAGTTCAGAATGCAAATTTGATTTCTTTCCTCATTTTAGAAAGAAAGAAAGAAACAGTAAACTGCCTCTTCTACCAATGTCTAAGATGAATGGGAAAAATGCATATGAATAGAATTTTTCTTTTACGTGAGTAATTGCAGAGAGCAAACACTCCCTTTTCTCTAACCCCAGTTCTAACCAAATTCTCCATTGTGCTCTTTTCCGTATGTATATTGTGTATGACTATATTTTTTCTTTGTTTAAATTATAGGATTGCAATAAGGTTCTTTGCAGTTGAAGCACTGAAGTGACAGCTGTTTATCATTATCCTCATCAAGGGAATGTAAAATAAAAATAGTAATTTGTCTCTGATCTTTGAGGCAAAAAAGAATGGTCTGCAAACATTTAACCTTTTATGTGCAGGTTCAATGATGCTGTTTACAAAACGTGAATAATATTGTAGAAACCAGCTTGTTTCTAAAAAATACAATAGACAGGCTTTCCTATTGCAGTTTTTAAAAATAGCTATTGAGAAATCTAATTCAATTTAACCAATAAAAACACCAGCATTGTAAATGTGAAGACATTTATAAAAATTACCATAACTTTCTTTCTCACTAAATTATTCATATAGTATTTAAGAAACAGGCTGTTATATAAAGTTTTACATTATTTAAAACATACTTTTATCACTATTATTTTTTTTTTTTAGAGACAGAGTCTTGTTCTGTCATCCAGGCTGAAGTGCAGTGGCGTGATCATAGCTGACTGCAGCCTCGAACCCCTGAACTCAAGGGATCCTCCCACATAACTGTAACTACATGCCATGCCCAGCTAATTTTGCTTTTTTTTTTAGAGATGGGGTTTTGTATGTTTCCCAAGCTCATCTCAAATTCCTGGCTTTAAATAATGGTCCTACCGCAGCCTCCCAAGTAGCTGAAAATTTTAATTTAAAAGCTTTCTTTTAAAGGTTTACTACTTTAACAGGTGAGGGAATGAAAGTGTTGAATCAGAAATAATTCTCACCATACCTTAGGGCATCTATTATAGAAGCACTGGGCTTGACTGGAATGTCTTTCAGGTGTTTTGTTTTTGTCTTTTCCCTTTCCTTAAATCTGTTATTTAATCATGTCATAGACTTCCTTGAAGACTTTTTCTTAGTAAATCAGGTCATCACTAGGAAAACACTGTTTCCATGGTAACGTACCTTTGAATTTTTCCAGCCCTACATTATCAAAAATGGTTTCACTGAAAACCTCTCTCCACTGCCAATCATTCACTTCGAATTTGATGAGGCTGGAAGGGTATGGTTAAGATAGTGTTGATGCTTACCCCACCACAAAAAGTGATCTACAAATACTGTGAGATAAAACATGTGTTTCCAAAAGCTACTGGGATGACTAAATATAGTCCTATGAGAAATGCCTTATAGATATAAAACAATTGTACTGTCGATCGTGATGAAGGCTCTTTTTGACTCAGAGCGATTCCTTTGCTGCTGTTAATTCTGTAACACCATCATCATAATGTTTACATACTCAAATAGTGAAATACTATAACCACAAGAAAAACCCCAGTAGTTTCATTTGTAAGAAGATAACACCTAAAGATTAGGGGGGAAATGACACAAGAGTAATTTATATTTTAGGAATTCTACTTTCATCACCTAAAAACTTGTAACTGTAAAGAAATTTTAAATTATTTTATCCTTTATACTATTTGTTTAACAGGCATTTTTAAAGCTCATTCATTTTAGCATCAGGGTATTAAGGGATTATAAGATCTATGCAATAAAGAACTATGTCTGGTTACAAAGATTGAAATATGGACAAAGGTATGAAACAAAAATCACAGATATTGTGAAGCAAAAATCTCTCAATTGTTTTGTTCTTCAAAATCATTTACATGGATGAGTATAGATACACTATATCAAAGTTAATAAAGTCCTAGAGAAAGCAAGGGCAATAAAATTCAACTAATATGAAAGCAGCATGGGCAGTCATAATAAACTATATAGCAAAATAGTAGCATAGGTATGCAGTTGATCTTATTTACCTTTTCTATATATATATATATATATTTTTTTTTTTTTTTTTTTTTTTGGGACGGAGTTTCGCTCTGCGCCCAGGCTGGAGTGCAGTGGCGCCGGATCTCGGCTCCACTGCAAGCTCGCGGCTCCCGGGATCACGCCATTCTCCTGCCTCGCCTCCTGAGTAACTGGGACTACAGGCGCCGCCACCTCGCCCGGCTTAGTTTTTTTTTTTTTTTTTTTGTATTTTAGTAGAGACGGGCGTTTCACTGTGTTAGCCAGGATGGTCTCGATCTCCTGACCTTATGATCCGCCCGCCTCGGCCTCCCAAAGTTGCTGGATTACAGGCGTGAGCCACCGCGCCTGGCGCCCTTTTCTTTACATTATGAGCAGAAAATCAAAGTTTCAGTTTAAATACAATTATACTTGCTTCACATTGGTAAAAACCTTCTAGTAAAAAAATAATGCAATGCATTAAAGCAACCAAAAAAACCACATACAACTGTAAAATTCTGTGAATAGAATCATTTCTTTCTGGAGTACAGAAGAAAAATGAAGCCATTAAAAGAGCAGCTATCATCAGGGGTTTTAAACTTCCCTGAAGTTCACTGAATACTGTAGTTGATAAAGCTGTCACCTACATCCAACTACAGAACTCCCAAAAGGCCTGAAGATAACTTTTTCAACTATTCCTACACATGAATTACTGAGTGCACCTTCTCAGACATTCCCAGGGCCCAAGAGCCTTCATAGATGATCAAGATAAAAAAAAGACCTGAAGACTGTTTTAGGAAATTTAAGTTAATTTTTGTTAAAAGGAAAGATGAAAGCAAAATCAGAAGAAATTTGCTAGGTTGGGCTGTTGCAAATTTCTTGTTTCCAATATTCAAAGATAGAACGTAAGTGATAATAGCACCAGACCACAGCTGAGTCATCATACAGACAACACGTACATGTCCCAAAGTTGGGGAGCTACTTCCAAAGTTGCCAAAACCAGAACTACTTCTGTCACTGTAAATACTCATAACCAATTAAGAAATAAATTAAAATTTAAAGGAGCTTATCTCAATTTAGGCAAATCTTTAGTTTACAGAAAAATAACTTTATGAAGATGATAAAAATATACTGAGACTTCTGCAACTACTGACATTCAGAGGAAGATTGCTTGAACAAAGATCTATATTCTTGGAGTAATAATCATTGGGTCTGCAGGTTTTTTTCTTTTGTTACTTCTCTCTCTCATTCTTCTGAAATTGAGTGTGTGTGTATGTTGCCTGTTTGACAATCTGGAGGATGTAAAGTACAAAAACACAAAACTATCTTTGCTTCACCCTAATTCTGATATTTACATTGGCTATCACATTTGTCTACTTCTTATAAAGTGGCAAAAACTAAGAGAGCCAAGATTGCCTAAAGATCAACAACTATGGCTGCATTTATAATAAAAATTAAAACTATTCTAAGCAAATTTTATAGAAGGATGCAATTATTATTTGAAACAATTCTGTATTATTTTAAATTTTGTAGTGTATCAGATTGTCCTGAGTGCTTTATTAATAAGGTTTGTAAGTATT